TTTTCTACCGCGGCAAAGCTTTATTTATAGATCGGACCTATGAGAGTCTGCAAAATGTTCCTGTGCTCCGTGCACAGTTCTTAAAAAAGCACTTCGGTATTGTGCATGTTACTAAAAAAAAATGTAAAAACCAAAAAAATAGTAAAAAATAAAAATAACAAAAAAAGTAAACGGGCACACCAAGTGGCGTAGCCGAGGTGGAAGCCGAAAGTTTACACACACTTCTAAAAATTATAATTCGTCTGATAAATCATCTTCTTCCATCAGGGAAGCTGTTGTTAAACCATTTGTTAAGCCGTTTACAAGGCTGCAAAAATTTATTATGGAGACTTGGATCGACAAGATGAAGAGTGACGAAAAAGTAACGTCGATTAAAAAGGATGTCGAGGAATTTAAAAAGAAATGCAGTAATCTTCAGAAGTTGATTTCCAACTACAAGTTGGCAATGGAGCAGGAAAAACTGAAGATCGAAAAAAATAATAAACTAAACACTAATGGTTTGGTAAACAACCAAGACCATGGTAATACAAAAAGTGGTCTACATAACCATAAGGACAGCATCACCTTCATGGGTGAGTGCAGTGACAAATCTCATCATGATGATGAGTCATCAGATGATCGTCCTGCCGGTGGCGATGGATCTGATGAGAGTACTGATAGTAACGGCTATCACGTACAAAGTGAAACAGCCGAGCACTATGCTGGTGAGCTCAACCAGATCTGTGCAAATTGCTCGGCAATGCACTTTAAAGACGAGGCACACCGTAGACGTATGTGCAAGAGCTGCTGTCACTTCGGCAAGCTGGCCTACACACCACGAGATAGCTATCCAGAGTATCTCAGATCGCTGTTCACCGATACAGCAAGCAGCGATCATAAAAACTTCAAGGCCAACATACGGTCGTACAACAGTGCCCAGTCGTTTGCGTCAATGGGTGCACATGTGGAGCAATTCACACGAGGGGTGTACTTCTTCAAGGTGCATGGTCAGGTCTACCACAACACATACAACATAAACCCGCTTGAAAACACTAACAGGAGATACTCACAGTTGTATGTGATTGATACAAACGATGCTACAGATCTGAGATCGAGAAACCCTACAAACGAGAAGTGTGACAAAGCAATACTACACAATCTTGACAGGACAATAAGAGAAGTCAACCCGTATGCAGAATCCTGCTTAGGTTGAGAGAAGTGCAGTGCGTGAAGGAAACATGTTGATGGTAAATGTGGTGTTCAACAAGAG